GAGCTCCTTTGGCTGACACTCGTACCCTTGATGCATCGTGTGGGATGTGTTTATTTTTACTGCAAACAGCCTTCGCTCAAAACAGGACCTTGGCGTCGCCCCAGCCCTGTCACAGGTTGTGCCGGTGCCGAGCGCGGGCCGGGACGCCCAGCGAGGTTACCCCGGGCAGCCCGTGCTGGGAGCCAGGGTCGCCCGAGGGACCCCAGTTAGGAGAGCGGCTGGCGGCTGGGCGAGCAAAGGAACCGCTTTCGGGAGGATTTGTGTCAAGGAAAACCCTGCGACATCGAGGGGAGGTGGCTACTCGCCAGCGGGAGATGAAAGGCAGAGCGCCAAGAGGGGAGGGACCGGGGACACGCGCTTGCTCCCCACCACCCCGCGGGGCTGGAGCAGCTGGGTGCTGTGTGTCCCCCCCACCAAGGTCACCCCGACCCGCGGCAGCGTGGGCAGCGGGGTCGCATCCCCCCGGGGATGCCCACCTTGCTCCTGCTGCTGGGATGGGCAGGGACCACCTGGCTGTGTGCCCTGGCTCCCAGCGCCGCAGGGGTTAATTCACCCCGGATTGCAGCACAACCCCCCCCAAAAAAAAAACCTCTGGGCTGGGGTGATGCTGGGGAAGGCCGGGGGGCTGATGGTGCCCCGAAGCTCAGGACTTTATTCCCCCCCCGGGGATGCCCACCTTGCTCCTGCTGCTGGGATGGGCAGGGACCACCTGGCTGTGTGCCCTGGCTCCCAGCGCCGCAGGGGTTAATTCACCCCGGATTGCAGCACAACCCCCCCCAAAAAAAAAACCTCTGGGCTGGGGTGATGCTGGGGAAGGCCGGGGGGCTGATGGTGCCCCGAAGCTCAGGACTTTATTCCTTGGGCTGAAACATGCAGGAGCGGCTGGTGCTGCTCCACTGTGCCCTGACACCCAGCAAACCATTGCTCCCAGCAAACCATCGCTCCCAGCAAACCATCGCTCCCAGCAAACCACCGGTCCCAGCAAACCACTGGTCCCCCCGCTCCCGGCGCCACGCGCGCAGGAGCAGAGGGTTAATCGCGAGGAGCACAGCGGAGCGCGCTGGCTGCATACCATCCGCTTCCCCGCTTTATCTCAGCAGCGGGTTCCATAAATACGAAGCAAATACCAAAACCCTGATGGACGCAGAAAGCAAATCCAAGATCCCCGCTGGGAGCTGGCTCGTGGTGCTCGCAGGAGGGGGGACTTTAAAAGCAAAATCAGGCTTTATCTGCGGGACTGCCATTAAAGCCACTTTTTTTCTTTTCTTTTTTTTTCTTTTGGTTCTGCACAAATCTTGTGCAACTCTGAGAAAAACGCATCGCCATACTGCTTGTTCTGCTAACTGCGTTCTTCAGGCTTAAAGGAGCTGTCAGCAGCTCCTATTGTATGGGCAGAGAGCTGCAGGGCACAGGGCGGGCTGCCCCACTTGAACATCAGTAGCGGGCACGTTCTCCAGCCAAGGAGAAGGAGGGCTTCATCCAGAGATCTTGATCAGGCAACACAGCAGATGCCACTAGGTCTGAGCCCCTGGGGTCTTTTCCTTCCCACAAGGATGTACCTTTTGCAATGGGAAAGAGCCACGCCGTGCTGGGCACCGCGGGGCTGCCGTGCGGGCAGGCAAGCCCAAGCATCCCCCCGGACAGTGTCCCCCAGCCCAGCAGGCACAGCCCCGCCGGCACGCAGGAAGGCACGCCGAGCTGCCTGCATAAGCATTTCCACCTATAATCCCAGATTTATGAACAAAGAGTAAAACAACTCTCCATTGATCCAAAAGCCCTTTTTACCCCCGTACCCTGAGGCCAGCCTTGGTACAGACCCGGCCGTCTCCAGCTCTCCTCCTCCTCTGGGCCAGCGGGATGATGCTCCCATGGGTCTGCACATCACCCGCTCTGAGCCTTTCCACCCCCCATTTACCTGTTTTAGCCCAGAGGCGGTGGGACCTGCTGCCAGGAGGGGGATGTCACCGGGAGGGGGGGTGGCCCTGCCTTACCTTGTGCCCCACATCCGACCACCCAAAGAGAACTGGGGACACGTCCAAGCCGTCGAAGCGCCTGTTCGGGGGAAGCGCCGCCCCAGCCAGGGCCACCAGCGTAGGGAAGATGTCCAGGGTGCTGGGGAAAGAAGTGGGTTTCATCAGAGCAAGGAGCGAAGCACCCCGGAGGGTCCTCCCCAACCCCACCTGCACTCCGCAGCCCCTCACCTGGGGGAGGGCACTCG